TCTCTTGTTAATGCATAAGCTAGTATTGGTTAACACGTTAAGCACATTGAAACACAAAATTTGGTTTTCACCACATGATCGATGACGCGTAAGGGATGGGGAGTTAATGTGTTAAATAGAAGTTCGCATAAACTTGTACTCTTTCAATTCTTAATATAAGATATAATTGAGGAGTTGATGTTGATACTATATGTAACACCTATTTCATATGTTTATTGACTTTTTTATCAAATTATATGTAACACCTATTTCATATGTTTATTATTTTTTTTATCAAATTAACCCTATTAATATTTTCTCAAAAATAATCAAATAAGAGAGGGAATGAGAAAATTAAAAGATGTTTAAGGTGTTTTAGTAAAAATATATTATATTAACTAATTTAACTAATATCCTTAATTTACTTAAATTAGTTAATTAAGTCTTATATTAAAAATTGGAGGAGTATCTATTAATTAACGTGAGTGTTTAAATAGATGATAAAAAGTGAAAATCAAGTTGTTTAACACATGGTTAACACGCTAATCACAAGAGATTAATGCGTTAAAGTGAACACAGATACAACTATTTAAATGAAAAGCTTTGAGGTTAACATGTTAGAAATTGATTTTGACACATTAAGGATAGAATAAATTGAAAAGCACGCAAGCTAAGCTGGATGTTTCCTCAATTATATGAGTTTTTCCTTTTCTTGTTGGATGATTTTCCTTTTTTGGGTTTTTCACATTAATTCTGAGCAATGGCTTTTAATTAGATGAACATTTGCGGTTAATTATTGCCCTCAAATATACCCGCAAAATACTTGTTTTGATTCATGGCATAAACCCAGGCTTTATTGGACCCAAGAGGATGAGAATAGATACATAACCTTCTCAAAAAATGTGTGTGTGTGTGTGTGTGTTTTTGGGGGGGGGGGGATTTTGCCTATTAAAGGCTGAGATTTTTTTAACAGATTTAAACTGATTAAAAAAGATTTAAATTGAACATAAGGTAGGATCAAAGAAGAAATCTCTTGGCTACAAATTGTAGGATTAAAATTGATCAGAATCAAAATCTGAAACTGGAATACCTGAGACCCAAAAGAGAAAAGGAAAAAAAAAAAAAAAAACTGGTCTTTGGCCACAGCCTACAAGGTAGGATCGTGAAGAAGTCTCGTAGTTTAATTTCGTCCACAAGATCCATTAATTGGTCAAAACAAGACAAGTGGCTGTGTGTGTGAGAGAAAGAGAGGCTTCCTTGTGTATATATATGAACTCAATCTTCATATTTTTCACAATCTCATCATTAACGTTTCTTAATCTTTCTTAATTCTTTCTCAAGCTCATATCACATAGTTCATACATTTTCTCAAGAAAATGGACTCCAACAAGGCAAGCTACAATGCCGGACAGGCCAAGGGTCAGGCTGAGGTAGCTTCATCCATATTCGTTTTAATTTCTTTCATAATAACTAATCTATCTATTACGTACCCTTCAATAAGTTTTTAAGTTTTAATTAATTACGGTATTAATTAATAATTAATCATGTTTTGTGTGCGAATAATTTAAACGATGCAGGAAAAGGCAAGCAGCATGATGGATAAGGCTAGCAATGCAGCACAATCTGCAAAAGAATCCATGCAAGAGGTATTACATACTCTCTGGTTGAACTTAATCAATTATTTATATAATAAATATGTGTGTGATTTGGAATATATAGATAATAAGATTAATTTTATATATATATATATATATATATATTATGATGGTGTGTTTGTGTATGTTATATAGGGAGGTCAACAATTACAGGCAAAGGCACAGGGAGCTGTTGATGCAGTGAAGGATGCAACTGGCACCAACAAGTGAAGAGCTAACATCATTAATGGATGAAATGGATGAATAATTAATGATGTTCTTTGTCTTTTGATTAATTGTTTTCCTTTAAACTCTTCTTCTTATACGCAACATCTTTTTTGATTACTTGTAATTTCGTTATTTTTTCTCATAATCATAATCAAATAGTCTTTATTTTAATTTTGAGTTGAATGACTAAAATGTCATATCCAAGATCCATTATAAGTACATGCGTATTGTTGTCAAACTTGTGATAATGCTTTTGCGTTTTTAACATTTAAAATCATGTTGAATTGTTCTTAAACTCGTGTTAATTATAAATTTGGTTGAATTCATGGGCCATAAGTAATTTTTATGATAATTGCAAGAATTGTTTCAATACATATGATTAATAAAAATATTTTAGGAAAGACAATACCTATTTATTATAAATAATTAACTTAATTTATTTTTTAATATTTACAAAATAATTATCTAACTCTTATATTTAGGATTGGAGATAGTATTAGATATGACTGGTTAACGCATTAAGCATGTTTTAATACTGTGCTTGTAAAATTGACAATTTTACATCAAATAAACAAAACAACAAATTTTATGGAAAAGTGTCTTAAAAATTGCTCATATAAATGACTAATATGTTTATATAATTTTGAAACATCACTTGCCTTTTAAAGGTATTTAAGAAAAATAGTAGAATATTTAATTTCCTTTTTTCATTTGTAAAAATAGTTTTAAATTAATGATGATAAAATGAATCATTTTAATTAATTTACCAATAACAAATAATTCCTCAATAAAAAAAAGTATAAGAAAGCATATAAAGAATAAAAAATTAGCATGAAATTTAAAAAGGCATTATATTGCCATCTTACAACTCTATTTCCTTTCTAATAATGCTTTGATTTCTCTCATATTCGAATATGAAGGGCAATCCTTCAAAATTCAAATGATGGAATAATAAAATTTACCCAATAAATATATATATATATATATATATATTGTTGTAACTCATATACTCCTCCGGTCCTCAATATAGGACCTAATTATGGAGTTGATTTGGTCTTAAATATAAGACCTATTTCTTATATTTATCAGTTTTTTTCAAATCACCCTTATTGATACTCTCTCACTCATAATCAAGTATGAGAATGAGGGAGGATATAATAAAAATGATTAAGGTATTTTAAAAAAAACATATTATATTTATTATAGTTAACTAACTTACCTAACTTCTTTAATATAATCAAATTAGTTAAATAGATCTTGTATTAAAAACTAGAATACCTATTATATTTTTTATAAAGAGTTTGAACTCACAATTTCACACCTAGAGTCTTAAGAAAAGCGCTCGAGGAGGAGAAATTTATCTCCCTGCTACGGAAAAAATTAATGTCAACTTTTATATCGCGACTCTTGGCATGAAACCAAACAGCATTGTTTTGCTAGTCAAATCACCAAATTCTTTTTAGTTAAAAAAAGGAAATAAACAAAAAACGTGTGTATGCAGGAATTAGAATTTTTACCCATAACCAAAATTCATTAGTGTATTTTATAATTATATAGTATATATAATAAAAATTAAATATGCATTTTGACTAATAGAAAATTATCAGATCATTTAACAAAGGATAAATTATTAAAAGCAAAACACATATTCACGAATAATATCAATCCACATGTAAGTTTTGTTGTCGTAAAATGAATAAAGTTCATGGTTCCTAATTAAAAATAAATAACATTTATATTAAAAAAAATTAAAACACTACGTCTTTGGTAAAGGGCTAGTCACGGACGCTTTTCACTATGGTATGGATGTGGATAATCTTTTTTTTTAGCTGATGGATGTGGATAATCTAATAATAAAAAAAACTAACAACATGAACAATATTATTACTAAATACTCATTTGAAAATACATAATACTACCTCAAGTCCTTAATATAAGAACTAGTTAACTAATTTGAATAAATTAATAAAACTAATTAAGTTAGTTATTTGTAATAAATATGGGTTGTATTTTCTAAAATATCTTTATTGATTAAGTGTATTGGCTACAACTACTATTATTACAAGGACTATATTGAAAAAAATGAATAAATATAAGAAATAAAATATATTGGAGTCTTATATTTAGGAACAAAATAAAAATTAAACAAACTATTATATCACGGACCGGACATAGTATTATTCAGCATAAAATAATTCAAAATAAATTAAGAACGAAAAACTTAACTAATTATTGTATAATTATATATATATAGCCAAGAATGAAATTTCTCCCAATCAGAAGTATAATATACAACGTAACAATACATTTAACACACAGTGGTTAGAGAGTGTGTGTAGAATGAGATAGAAGTTATTGAGTTCAAAACCTTCTTAATACACACACACACACCCAACACATGAACTATTTGTTATTTACACATAATTCTTACGAATATAATGCAAAATGTCACTTAAAATTAACTTGATATAGTTAAAATCACCGTCAAATCTAATTGGAATTTCCAAATTTATGAGTTAGTATTTCCAGTTTCTTTAGGTTTATTAGTTTTTTCCCCCGCATATTGATAGTTTAGCAGTTAGTTTTTTTCACAATCAGAAAATATTTTCTATTTAATCATGATACTTTTTAAAATATATTGAGTTTTATTCTTAGTGAAAGTATATTTTTTTCGAGCCAAAAAATATATTTTTTCCTAATTAACTTTTAGATTTGCAACCAAAAGAATTTTCTAACAAATCCATTGCAACTTTTCTAACTTGGACATATTTCAATTTTCATAAAAATGAAAAACAAGAAAATATTATTATAGGCTTGGTTAAATTACCAAATATGGAGTGTGTGGTGGAGACTATGCTACTAGCTAGCAATTATTAATTAATTAAGTAACTTCAAATGTTGTGGTCAAATTAAAGATAGATCATCTAAATTAATTACTTAATAGCTTTCCTAAAAATGAGCATCATCACAAATATGGCCTTAAAAGTAGATGACAATCCGCAATTAATGCTCCCATACATAATACACTCTCTATATAAATAATTGCCTCATCCTCAACATTCATATCACCATTCAAAGCTTAATCACTCTCTAATCTTCTAATTATCCTCTTCATATAATTCTTCTGTCTTCTCTTTTTTCAATATTTTACCAAACAAAATGGACTCCACTAACAAGATGAGCTACAACGCTGGCCAAGCCCAAGGCCAAGCTCAGGTATACGCATTGTTAATTTCTCTCCATTATGAGTAGTATGTTTATTAGGAAGAATTATCAAGAAATCCTAAAGAAGAAATTTAATTAAGGATAAGGAATTACTTTGAACCTATTATCATTTCTTATTCTGAAACTTATCATTACTTACTTTTTACTTGTCGGTAAACTTTAGGGTAATTAAATCCCATTCTTGAGACCTGATTATAATTCTTCTTTTTTTTTATCAATGATTAGTCTCCATGTGATCATCTGCCCAAAGGCATTAAGCACTTTCCTTAAATATATCTTAGATATAAGATTGCGAGTTCGACTCTTTTATGAATATGATGAGTGCGCATGAGTTTCTTCCGATGGTGAAGGATGACAAAAAGAAAAGATCTGCGTGTGATCAATTTCATCAGTTAGATTATTATTAGTTACCAAAATTAAATGGTGGGTTATATTATGCAGGAAAAGGCTGGTTCCATGATGGAGAAGGCTAGCAATGCTGCTCAGTCGGCTAAGGAATCAATTCAAGAGGTTTATATCTAATCTCTGATTTCTTTTCTTTTCTTTTTGGGATTAACATATGATTTCTCAATTGTTTTTATAATATTATTAATCTCCTAATTAACACTTTCAATTAATTATGACTTAACGGTTTTTTTTCCCGTAAATATGAAGGCTGGTCAGCAGATGATGGCCAAGGCACAGGATGCGGCTGATGCAGTGAAGGATGCTACTGGGATGAACAAGAGCAACTAATTAATTATTTCATTAATTAGTTAATTAAAGAGGGATTAAAGTTAATTAATCCTCTTGATCAGTTTGGTTTTTCCTAATTTGTTTCTGATTTTGAGTTTCATAATATATAGGGCATTATATGTAATTTTGATGCTCTAGTTTTGTTTTTTCTTTTTAGTTTGTTTAGTACCTCTTCTTGTTTAGGAAGAGAGCTTCATATTATTAATTGGACTCATTTTTCCTCTTCAACTCTTCGTTTCTTTTATTTTTTCATTCTTATAATTAAAGTGAAATTAAATATATTTAGGGCTAATTTAGTTATTTAAGTATGAAATTAAATAATAAATATATGAATATTATATATATATATAATTTTTTCGTCCTTTCTTTCGATTTTTTTTTATGCCAAATTATATTTCCGAATTTCGAAAATTTATTAATAAAAAATATCTCAGAACTTATAAAAAAATAAAATAAAATCTCCCATATGTGGAAAAGATCAAAGATAATACAAGCACATAAATAAACAACGAATATTTTCCAAAATTTTAAGAGAATCAAATTCAAAGAATTCTAAAATAAAAATATTTCATATATTTAGTTAAAATATATTTTTTCTCATAAATTATGTGAGAGTTTAGGTTTAAGATCTTAAGCTTGAGTTTATTATATTTAAATTAAAAGTACGAAAGATACAAAAATAATTCCTACATCCAATATACCGATCGAAGTTAAATTAAAATATTAAATATAAACAACAAAAAAATCATCAAATTCTATCATCTTCTTGTATAACTGAAATCAAATTTATCTGTACTGTCATATCACTGACAAATGTGTTTTCTGTTTTGTGAAAAAGCTTGAATTAATGAGGATACAATTACGACAGGTTATTCCAGAGTTTGGATCTAACAAGTTCAGAAGTTTTTAATGCAACTGGAGATGATTAATAGTTTTTGAAAGACTCTTTTTATGTTAAAACTAGACGTATATCCTAAAAATGTATTTTAATTTTCATGTATTTGTTTTTGGATTCTATGAAGTTGGGTTCAAATTTACCTTTGCTCAAATTAGAAAAAGAAACAATAAACCAACGTAATTGAGTCTAACAGGAGGATTACTCTATCACAGTGTGGTTAACCAAGATTCAAATCTTCGTTAAGAGAAGTATTCATATTTAGTACCTAACAGTAGCTCAAACATTAGATTCTATGAAGTTGGGTTCAAATTTAACTTTAATCAAATTAGAAAAAGAAACTACAAACCAACATAATTAAGTCTAACAAAAGAATTACTCTATTACACGGTGGTTAACCAAAGTTCAAATCTTCGTTAGGAGAGGTACTCATATTTAGTACCAAACATTATCTTGAGTGTAATTATCTCCAATTAAACACTATTCCATCTACTAAAACTTATCAATTGTGTTGGGTTTGAAGGGAGGGCCGGGGAGGGCTTTAATGTTACTTATTTGGTTTAATTAGAGAGGAAGGGAAGACATATCTAATAATCTTTTGTTTGGCTCAAGAGGAAAAGAGAAGGGAGCTAATAACTAATTTACCATTTTATATATATACTCCTCCGATCCTTATTATAAAACCCCATTTGACTTTTTATTTGATCCTAATTATAAGACCCCAATTCATTTTGTCTCTTATATTTATGCATTTTTTCCAAGATAATCCTTCTAATAATGATAGTTTTTGCCAATATACTTAATTAGCAAGGATATTTTAGGAATGACAACATTTATTTATTATAAATAACCAACTTAACTTACTTCCTTAATCTCTTCAAATAAGTCAATTGGGTCTTATAATTAGGACTGGAGGAGTATATATATATATATATTTAGTAGCTTATATATTTTTCCTTCTATGTTATATAGATTAATGCACCTTAATTGCCAATAAGTTATCGGTTAAGATAGTGAGTGGTCACACCTCCGTAAGAAGGAAAACATAAGTTTGAATAATGTAAAACATACTTATTGTGATGGATTTAACCATACCACTTTCAACTCAATATAGATTAGTCTTAAGTCCAAAGTGATTTGGAGAGATTCTGAGTTTATACTGAAAAATGCATCTTAATTTAAATCGTATAATTTATAAAAATTCACTCTCATTTCAACATATTAATACATGCATTAAAAACTAATATAATGGATTGGAAAAATCACAAAAAAAGACTGCCAAATTTTTTTAAAAAATTACAAATAAGTACTTATAACAATATTAGTATGGGTTTTAACAACAACAATATAAGTTTTGATAACAATTTTTGTGAATGGATCCCTGTATATAATTTTTAAATTTCTAGAGTTGTTTTTTATGATTTTCCCTAATGGATTTTCCTTTATTTATAATTGATATAATACTATATTTTTAAAAAATCAATTTAACAAGTTTTATCGTAGAAGAGTAAAACATCCTTAACTTCACATCCATATATAATAAATTCATATCCATCATCTCCACGTTGAGCAGCATACATTAGTTTTAGTTATGTAAATGAAATACTACTTTCTTTTGTATCAAAATTATCCATCCACTCATCCAATACAGTAAAGTGTTACAAATATTTCCCAAATAATCATGTAAAAATTTTTAAAGACTGAGTTGAATTTTATCTGGTTTTAAGAAATAGAATATTAATTTTCTAAATTTTATATCTTAAATTTTTGTTAAAGCATAGGTATCCTTATATTAGAAGTTAAATTTGGTTATCTATAGAAATTTATCAATCACCAATCATTTTGGTTGGCGAAAAGTAATTCATATGTGTTATAGGCCCAATTATCCTTTGATGCGAAAGAGGAAGCTTGATTGGGCCCAATAGTCAATTTGGCCCACTATGAATCTTCATTTCAAAGGCAAAATTAAAAAAAAAAAAAATCTAAATCTTGCAAAATTGCAAAACCCTACTCCTCCACCTTGCCCCTTCTCATTTCGCTCTAATCCAGTACCTTCTCATTTCTTTCCGAAGTTTAGCCTCAAATCTTGATCTCACTGATGAAGAATCAATGGCGTGTTCTTCTTCTTCGCGCTCAGCATCGCGCTGGCATTTACGCTTCCAATCATTTCTCGCAACCTCAGTTTCAGGTACACCTCAATCCAAATTTACAGTCACTTCGATCTATCACTTCACTCCTGCATTCCCACTCTCTTCAAAACCAAGCTTCCTTACGCTCTACTGGTTTACTTGATTTCTTAAACCCCATAAACACCACCACTCGTTGTTTCTCTTCTGAGACTGCACTTGAGCAGAATGAATCGGATCACGTTGTTCTTGTTGCCGATATATTCTCGAAACCCAGGACCTGTGATGACATTAAGAAAGAAATTGAATTGAATAATATTGCGATTAACCATGATATGGTGCTTAAGCTTTTATGGAAGCTAGGTTCTAGCCCTGACGTTGCTAGGAGGCTTTTTGACTGGGTTTTGGAGAGTGATTGTGAGAGGTTGAGCTCGAAATCCTATAACATGATGTTATCTATTTTGGGAACCAATGGTCTCGTCAATGAGTTCTGGGACATGGTAGCTGTTATGAAGAAAAAGGGTTATGGGGTATCAAAAGGTGTACGCGATAAAGTCTTGAAAAGCTTTGAAGAGAGTGGAAGGAATGGTGATATTGAGAAGTTGAAAGCTTTGTTTGCGTCAGGTTCTATTGATAATTCAGCTGAGAAGATGTGCTCAAAGATCAGTAAAATTGTGAGGCATGACGTCTGGAGTGATGACGTTGAAAAGAACATCTTGGACTTGAGTATTGCGTTCTCTAGTGATATGATTACTTCAATTTTGGATAATCTTGGTACTGATCCAAATAAAGCGCTGATATTTTTCTTGTGGCTAGAGGAGAGTGGGCAGTTTAAACATGATGGCTGCACCTATAATGCAATGGCCAGGGTGCTAGGAAGGGAAGATTCAATTGATAGGTTTTGGAAACTCGTTCATGAAATGAGGAACAAAGGGCATGAAATGCAATCAGAAACATATGTTAAGGTTTTAGGACGGTTTTGTAAACGGAAGATGATTAAGGATGCTGTTGAACTGTATGAATTTGCTATGGCTGGGGCACATAAACCTTCACCCCAATGCTGTACCTTTCTATTGAAGAAAATTGCGGTCAGTAAGCAGTTTGATATGACTTTGCTTTCGAGGGTTGTGAAGGTTTTTACTGGAAGTGGGAATGTGTTGACAAGTTCTACTGTTGATTCTGTGTTGAAGTCTTTGACTACTGTTGGCAGGTCTTGGGAGTGCAACAAGGTTTTGAAAGCACTGGAGGATGGTGGGGTCGCGGCTACTGGTGATATACAGAGTAAAATTGCTTTTCTGCTTAGTGCTTCTGGTAACGAGGAAGAAGCTTCAGAATTTATCAATAACATTGAAGCGTCTGGGTCTAATCTGGATCACAAGGCATGGGAATCCTTAATTGAGGGGCACTGTCGTGCTGGGAACCTTGATAAAGCTTATCATTCTTTTCAAAAGATGGTTGAGAAAGAAGGTGTCACTTCTGCAAACCATGGTTTCGATTTGTTAATGAATGCATATTGCCAAGAGAACAGGGCTATTGATGCATGCAAGATCCTCATCCAATTGGTGAGGGAACAACAGTTAGAGCCCTGGCATTCTACCTACAAGTCTCTAATAACGAAGCTACTGGTTCAGGGAGGATTTTCGGATGCCATAAACATTTTGGGTTTAATGAGAAGTCATGTTTTCCCACCTTTTATTGATCCATTTATTGAACATGTATCAAAGGGTGGAACCGGAGCTGATGCTGTTATGTTTCTCAGGGGGATGACTTCCAAGAGGTTTCCATCTACATCGGTTTTTCTCCGTATGTTTGATGCCTTTTCCAAGCAAGGAAAGCACGACGAAGCTCACAACCTCCTCTCCAAATGTCCACGCTACATTCGTAACAATGCTGATGTCTTGAATTTCTTTTGTTCCATGAAGCCTAAAGAAGGTAACACTTCTGGTATATTGGCTTCTTAAGCCTGTAGGGATGTATCT